ATTTGAAATCAGGAAGATGAGTCTTTCTGACTCCAGACTTTCTGACTCTATTCACTGTGCCACCTAGCTGCCTTGCAAAAAAAAAAAATCCCTGTTCCCAAAATCTATTTAATATATTGTCCTTGGACAGAGGATTTATCACATATTAAACAGATAAGAACACACACTATACATGATCCATTATTTCATTGTTCATTACTGTATTTGTTGTGTTTCTTGATTTACTTAGAATTATTTATTTGTTAAATATAATTTTACAGTACCACTTCTTGATAAACTAAATTTATCATATTTAATAAGTGTTTTGCCATTTTAGAACTACAAAATCATGGGGGGGGTCCTGATTTTAAGAGTTAACCCAGAGAACAAAAATAAGGATATTTAAAGATATTGAAAAGAAAGGTCAAAGAATTGAGAGATTATAAGGGAGCTCATAGTAAGCTCAGTATTCTGAACTATTAGATACAATGAGTTGGGAGATGGCACTCGAAGAATAGTTTATATACTTTCTTCTGAGGAGACATTAGTCAGAAGAGTAAAAGCCTTTATGAGAAAGGCGGGATTGACTGAAAGGAGACTGGATGGCATTCTTAAACTACAAAGACACATTTTTATGAGAAGAACCAGAACCAAGTCCCTTGTAGAAGGAGGGAGAGCTAAAATGTGGGTGACTCAAGAGCTATATCCCTTGAATTAAATAGGGATGCAATGCCTATGAGCTAAGCAAAACAGTATGTATCACTGCAGAGGGACTTCTTAAATCAGAGTTAGGAAGCCTTCCTGGTTAAGTTCTATGAGCTTCTGGGGTACAAACATGAAGATTGGGTCAACAAGATGGAAAGAAACATATTTCAGTGGTCTGTGAACTTGCCTGTTTTAAACCCTATTGAAAATCTTTGACTTAATCAAGGCTAGACTTGGGGAAATACACTGTTTTGTAAAGGCAAACTAAATATCCAATGTGATGTATCATTTCATGTGAAGAATTAAAGAATATGTGTTAAAAAAAAAAGTGGTGTCAAATTCAAATAGAAACAAGGGCCACTAATGCATACATGTAGGTCTCGGTGGGCCACATATTGACTTAGTTTTAAAATGTACTATTATCTGTTTTACTCTATTTTTATTTATTTGAAAAAATATTTCTCAATTACATTTTAAGCTGGTTCAGCCTACACTTGACAGTGTTATGTGCTTGCAAGTTATGTATCTGATATCTTTGTATTAAAATATTGTGAACTCAAAGCCAAATTGTGTAAAACAAGAGGCTACAAAAAGGGAGGAGAATTGTACATTAAATATTCTTCTACATAAAAAAGTTTTTCAGGTTTATTGTGTTATTCAGTAAATTTAATTATTAGTCCTTGTCCTAATTTGCATAAAGCTATATGTGCATTTAATACAAAGTAGCCATAGCTTGTATTACTTAAAAATAACTGTAACTATGTATTTTAAAAAAACCAAACAAACCAAAAAACGACAACCTAATATATTGGCAGAAGAGCATAAAGGCATTCCAAAAAGTTCCTGAAGCATAAAGAACAACTTATTTTTAAATTATTATTATTATTGAATATGTGCCTAAATTGCCACAATATCTAAATTTCCATATTTGATGATTGTAAAGCCTTTGGAGTAGTCATGTATTCATGTCTTATTTAAGTATGGCAAATATATAAAATAAAGAAATATAGTGAGAACACTGGAGTATTTGAAATCTACATGGAAATCTGTTCTCTATTTACAACATACTACCTACATAATAGAAGTGAAGAATAATTATTTTATACAATGTGGCACTTCTCAGGGAGATTGGTTCAGTTTTAAATCCACACTTTTCCTAAGTAGAATTAAATACGGTTTCCAAGTTAAACAGCCTAACCAGAACATAATTAATTACTTGAAGTATATGATGACATGAAGCTATTCGTCCCCAATGACAAACATTGGACAATTTAAACTTATGGAATCTTTTTCTTATGATATCAAAATGTCATGTGGAATCTATAGGTGTAACATCATCAATTAATTAATGGATATAATCTATAGGTATAATATTATTAATGTATACCAAAGAAAGACAGACTAATGGACTCATGAGAGTGAATATAGAAGGCACAATGGACAAATGGATGAAAGCGATACCTCCGTATTCAAGGAGAAGGCTGTGGCTAAATATCTTTAAAGATTTACAGGTAATCTAAAATCAGAGCTTAATGAGAGGAACATACTTGAAGCAATTAACATTTGTGCAGTACTAATCTTAGTATATAGCTTAAGAATTATAAAACGGACTACAAAGCATTTGGAAAGCATCCAAACAAAACCCATAAATGTTTTTTTCAATGATCATTGAACCATCATTACCAAAACAGAGGTAGTGATTCAACTCAATCAATGCTATATCTTTACTGAATATCTTTTCCTTTATATGGCTAACTAAATCTCCTTTTATTAATTGTTAGATGATCTGTGTTTCACTTCATTTCAGTTTTGACCCTGAAGCACCACCAGGCCAGCCCAAGTCAGGCCTGGTCTATAATACTCCCGTAATCACCCCCTTTTCTCTGATCTTCATTATCTCATAATTTATTGCTTTCTTCCCAATCTCTGCACTATTTGATGCTATTAATCACTTCTTTGGATTTTGTCTTTATTCTTTTTCTCCTGGTTTGAGTTCTTGCTCCCAGCTGAAGAGCTAATTAATTTTGTATATTATTTCATATATCCTAATATATATCACATCTTTTTGTTTGCTGTTTTGCTTGGGAAAACGGACTTATTTCATTTTCACTATTTTTGATGGTCTCTTATATAACCATGTTTGGTGGGATGGAGCTAAGTTGGTAAATGAAAGCTAAAGGCTGCTCTCCTTTGTAAGAGAGAATAGGGAAGCAGTTTTTGTTCTCAACCTATCATCTCTTAGACTAGCAATATTCAAAGTGGGGTGAGTGGTCAAATAGATATAATTCTATGTCTATACCCTTCTCATAGACTTGAAAGAACACTCAGCTATGGCTGCCTTTCTTGGGCCTATCTGCTCTTTCCTCCCAGCTAGCATGGTGGCACCACATATATGTGCTCCTCTCTCTATAGATTGGGCAGATCTCAGATCATACGTATGTATACATGCCATCCATGAACTATGCTTAGATAAATACACATACACACACATGCCCTTGTCTCCCCCATTACGCAAGTTTCTGGTGAGGAGCGATTATTTCATTCTTTATAAGTATACCTACCCTAGCACAGTGCTTGGCACATAGTTGGAACTTTTTTCTGGTATGTGTGTAGTAATGAGGATTCACTTAAGACTGGATAACATAAATCTGCCATGCATCCAGGTAGAAAAATTGTGTGACATCTTCCAAAGACATTAACAAATACCCGGACAAGGTGATGGCTGGAGTAATCTAGGAAAGAGTGTTGGCAGGAAAAGGGGACAAGAGATTGAAGAGTCAAGGAAAATATGAAGATGAACTTATTAATAAGAGTTGAGCTCATGAAGGGAGGAAACTGAGGCCAGAACAGAGGGAAGAGAAGGGTAGAGTGCTTAGAAGTAGTAGTGAGGGTAAATATTGGGTTTCAGAGGATAAATGGAAAGCTGGAAGGACATATTTTCTTGCATTGTAAAGACATTTCAGAGTTTTGGAGAGGTGGAATACTTGAGGGTGACATAGAGATCAAAGGTACGACAATAACTTTGTGTTCCTGAGGTGGATAAAAGTTTGGACCTTAGGAGTTGAGACTGATAAACTGTGAAGCAAGACTGTTTGTGGAGGCATCCACATAGAAATTGAAGTCCCCAAATGTAAGATCAGGTATTGAACTCCTTGAGAAAGAAATGACAGTGACCTGGGAACCAGTAAGAAGAGCCACTTTAATTTGAATAGGATAATATATTTGGATGGTGTGAACCTTGAAGGTTGAGGAGAGGTTATTGAGTGAAGGTGTTAGAGCGAAGGGGAAAGGAATAAGTATTTATATAGTGCTATGCACTTTTACAAATATCTTGAGTCTCACAATAAACCTGAAAGATGTGTATTAGCATTATCCCGATTTTACAGATGAAGACACTGAGGAAAACAGAGGTTAAATGACTTGCCCAGAGTTTCACAGCAAGTAAATATCTGAGATTAGATCTAAGCTGCCTCAGGGGTAGGTCAGAAAACGATGCAACAACTTCATTTTACAGATGAGAAAACTGAGTCATAGTGATCTTATAGGTAGTAGGTAGTCAAGCTCAAACTCAGGTCTTGGGAATGATTTCAAGTCAAGTATCCTAGCTTCTTAGACCACACCGCCACTCACTGGGTGGTACTGGAGAATCTTATGAATAAAGGAAAGGAATAAAGAGAGTCAAAAACAGAGTTGCTTAGTTTGAAAAGAAGGGAGACAGTGAAGGAAAAGATCCAAGGGGTAATATAATAGTCAATAAGGGAGGTGATTATTCAAAGATACCTTGTGGAACACCAATCCCCCCCCCCAGCGCCAAAGTTGCGGTTGGAGAGCAGGGAAGGAACTGCTACAGCCCTGGACTTATTGGCATTATATGACACTCCAACACTGTGGATATTTTTTTAAAATGTGGGTGAAGTTTCTCTGGCTGGGATTCCCTACAGACAGGAACGGTCTAGACTAATAAAGATGATCAGATTGCACATTTCAAAGGGATCCTGGGAGAAGTGGGCATCTAGGCCAAGAAAGAGGAGGATCAAGGCCTGTGGACCAACATAATAAGATGGAGAGTGAGGAGGGAGAAGAGAGAGAAGAGGGACAGGAGGAGAGAGAAGAGGGAATAGGAGAGAGAAGAGAGGGGTGGGGGAAACGCGAATACGTATAAGGGGAGAGTGGGAGGCAAGAGAGCATCTAAAAGTCTGTGCGAGTGAAGGGTGGAGTTTCAACCCTGAAAACCACGTGACAAGCATTTGTGCGGTAAATGACGGGTACTGCGGAGGGCGGGCCTTGAAGGGAAATCAACTTCCGGGAGGCAGAGGTTGGCTCGAGGACCTTCTCACCCCCGCCCCCCACCCCCTACCTGGGAGCAAGTGGGAGACAGCTCCGCCTGGAGGGGCCCAGATTGGGGGCGTGTGGAGGCTGGGGGAGGGGTCGGGCTGGGGGGTAAGCGGCCCAGACGCCTGTGACTGCGGCGGCAGCGCTAGCGGCAGCCGGGAGCAGGTAAAGGGCCACCATGCCCAGCCCTTCGCGTTCCACGGGGCTCGGAAGTGAGGGGCGAGGCGGGGCCCAGGCTCGCCGAAGGGGCGGGTGGGAGAGGACACGGTGCGTGGCCGGGCTGGCGTCTCCCTGGCCCCTCCCTCAAGCTCCTGCCCCTGACCCGGGGAGGGTGAAGGGGGCGTGCCCGCGTCTCCCTCCCCCGTTCGCCCGAGCCCCGGGGATCGTGGCGGTCTGCCTCGGGCTGCACCCGGCGGGGTGACCGAGCTGTGCATGCCCCGAAGCGCGGGACCGTCGCACCCCGGCGTCCTCCCCGGACGGGCCGGGCTGTCCTGCGGTTCCCGGGCTTTGCCCGATCTCATTGACGCTAACTCTGGACCGACGGTTGTGGAGCACGGTGCATGTCAGGGGTGATGCAGGAGCCTGTATCTATCCCGCCTTCATGTAGCTCATAAAGTGTCACATCGAAGTTCCCCACCCCACAATAAAGACGCTTCTCTATTGGTCAGAAGCCCTGGAGGTTTTGGAAATTAATCCAGTTTTTGGTTTCGATTTAAAGAATGGTAACAGTTAAAAGCAGCACTTAATATCTTTGGGTAGTATGGTGTAGCTGCCCTTGTTTCTCTTATGAGAATTAGGGCAGAGCCTGATTTCCTGGAGGGTAAAGTCTTGGCCACCACTGTAGGTGAGTCAGCGGCCTCATACTGAGGGACGAGTTTCCTCCTTTTCCTTTTTTTCCCCCTTCCCCCTCTCTGCTATGCAGATAAAGATCCTACCTTCCTTTCCAAATATTTATTCAGGCTGCAGTTGGATGGTGGCCTTTGGAAACAAGTTTGAAGGCTTTGGGGTGGGCTGACATTTCATACGAAAGGCTTAGGGCAAAAGGCAGAATGTTTAATTGAGTAAGCTGATAGGTCTTGACAGCTAACTTCATTGAGTATTCCATGCCGTTTGTGAGCCAGACACCAATTTATTCCATTTGCTAGATGTAACTTCTGTTTTGTGCAAAGTCTTTATCTTGCACTTGTTTTGAAAATAGAGCCAGTTCTACAGATAGGGATAGCCCCCATATGGTGCCACCTGTAGCAAAGAATTTCACTAGTTACAAAGTTTGATGTCTTTGATTCAAGCCAGGAGTTTGGAGTTGTAGGCTGAGAAATTCTATGATGAACTTGTTTCCTGGCAACAACATAAGCCAAGTGGAATAAACATAACAGCAGTACAAAGTGATGAAAAGTTCTAACTTATTTTTTCCTTTTTTAAAAGAAAAAAAGAAGAGCTTTGAGAAGTCAATTCAAAACTAATAAACCTTTTTTTGTATATGTGTATTTATCATGTTAGACAAAGGAAAATGGGAAATGAATCATGGTGTCTATGGCTACAGTGCTAGACTTGGGTTTGAATACCACTTAAGATACTATCTGTGTGACCCTGAACAATAACTTATCCCTCTGGCTTCAGTTATCCCATCTGTAAAATGAGGAGGCTGAGTTCAGTGACTTTTAAGGTCCCTTCTAAGTCTAAATCTGTTATCCTATATTGTCCTCTCATATTGTTTTTTCCCCCTCATTTTATGTAATTTAGAAAAAGTAACTAGCTTAGATAAATTAGAATTTGCCCAACATAAACACTTGACTCTGGATCTCAGGATTTAGAGCTGGAGATATTATTAGAGATTAGTCCATTTTCCTAATTTTACAGATGAATTTTAGAGAGTTTAATGTGAGTCGAGATCCAAATCTAGGCCTTCTAACAGTAGAACCAGTGCTTTTCTCAATATACTAAAATACCTGTGTGGTGGTACATGTAAGATTTTGAAAATGTGTAGGATGATGGCATTACTATGATTAAAGCACTGAAGGTCATTTTTAGTTTTTCATGGATTGCCATTTCCAAAAAAAAAAAAGCAATTCTTGCTGGATGGCCATTGTACTAGTGATGTGCCTTTCAATGCTTAGCTAGGTTGGTCCTTGTAAAACAGAATTTGTCTGTTGCCAGGGTTACACTTGAAGTCTTTCTAGTATGGTAAAACCTGCCAGAGCTCATGCTTTGTTGGCATCACCATGAAGTAGCTGATATCACCCTGATGTAGTGATGTAATAGAATTAGGATTTTGTGTAAAGTTGAACAGGAGAAAGAGAATAGATTGAATTGCCTTTGAGAAATTTCTTTTTTTTTTCTTTTGGTTAGGCAGTGGGGTTAAGTGACTTGCCCAGGGTCACACAGCTAGTCAATATCATGTGTCTGAGGTTGGATTTGAGCTCAGGTCCTCCTGAATTCAGGGCAGGTGCTCTATCTACTGTGCCACCTAGCTGCCCCTGTCTTTGGGAAATTTCAAAGCTCCTGTAATGATTTCAAGTTTCCCATGAAAGCAAAGGGCCTGTCTTTTTAATACCAGCACTGACATTTTGTCACCTTTGGTACACTTTGAAGAATAAAAAATAAGTATCACACAGAAGGCAGCAGACAGGCAAATGATTGGTGTGTGCAGACTGAAGTATATAACCTTTGAGAAATACTGAAGAAGAATAGGAATGTTATGGATGGAAGAGAAGATGGGCTGGTCACATGGTAAGAACAAGGGATGAGTGGTTAGTGCTCCACTGGCATCCTCTTGATGTCAAGATAAATCAAGGAAAGCTCCAGCACATTGATGAATCCACTAGGATGAATGAATGTAGGGGAGGACTTGGACAAGAGTCACCCAGGATGGGTGGGTATGGATGGATTGTGATATACATATTTGGAGAAAGGGGGAAGGGAATGAGCATTTATATAACATTTATATAGTACCTGCTGTGTGCCAGGAACTGGCACCAGGGAACTTTGGAATTGTTGAGTGTCTCATGGAATCTTAGAATTATTTAATTGTAATTTCTCTAATTATTACTAATTTCTTCTTTGAAAATTGCCTGTCCATAGTCTTTGGCCATTTATCTTTTTGTGAATGGATCTTGTTCTTAAAAATTTAAATTGGTTACTTGTATCTTTATATCCATGTATGTCCATGTCCTTATATCCTGTTGAGATAACATATGTAAAGTACTTTGTAATCCTTAAAGCACCATATAAATGTAACTCTTGGGGCAGCTAAGTTGCACAGTGGATAGAGCACTGGCCCTGAAGTCAGGAGGACCTGAGGTCAAATCCGGCCTCAGACCAAACACTTGACACTTGCTAGCCGTGTGACCCTGGGCAAGTTACTTAACCCCAGTTGCCTTAAGTAAATGAATGAATGAATGAATGAATGAATGTAACTCTTGGGAACTGTATCTTTATTAGGCCAGTTAGAAGGGGTATAAATACATATTTTCTCATCACTTCTTTAGGACTGAGCTTGGTCATAATAATATAATGTTAAGGTTTTTTTTTAAATCTCTTTTAAAACTTTTCACCCAATTAATAGTATTTTATTTTTTCCAATTACATGTAAAGATAGTTTTCAACATTCACTTTTATAATAAAGATTTTGAGTTCCAGATTTTTTTTATCTCCCTCACTTCACTCCCTCCTCAAGAGGGCAAGCAATCTGATATGTTATACGTGTACAATCATATTAAAAATATTTCACATATGTGAAAGAAGAATCAGAACAAAAAGGAAAAACCACAAAAAAGAAAAAAGCAAAAAGCAAAAAAAGTGAAAATAGAATGCTTTGATCTGCATTCAGACTCCATAGTTCTTTCTCTGGATAGCATTTTCCATCATAAGTCTTTTGGAACTGTCTTAGATCATTGTATTCCTGGGAAGAGTTAAGTCTATCAAAGCTGATCATCACACAGTGATGTTACTTTGATTGTAACAAAGATTGTTATTTTGTACAATATTTTCCCAGTTCTGCTCACATTACTTAGCATCAGTTCATGTAAGTCTTCCTGGGTTTTTCTGAACTCCGCCTGCTAATCATTTCTTATAGCACAAGAGTATTCCATTACATTCCTATACTCCAACTTGTAGAGCCATTCCCTGATTGATGGGCATCCCCTCATTTTCTAATTCTTTGCCACCACAAAAAGAGCTGCTATGAATATTTTTGTATCCCATTTGTATGATCTCTTTGGGGTGTAGCCCTAGAAGTGCTATTGCTGGGTCAAAGGCTATGCACCTTTGGCCATAGTTCCAAATTGCTCTCCAAAATGGTTGGATCATTTCACAACTCCACCAACAATGCATTAGTGTTCCAATTTTCCCACATCTTCTCCACCATTTATTGTTTTCCTGTTTTGTCATGTTGGCCAATCTGATAGGTGTGATGTGGTACCTCAGAGTTGTTTTGATTTGCATTTCTCTAATCAATAGTGATTTAGAGCACTTTTTTCATATGACTATAGATAGCTTTAATTTCATCTGAGAACTGCCTGTTCATATCCTTTGACCATTTATCAATTGGGGAATGACTTGTATTCTTATAGATTTGACTTAATTCTCTATATATTTTAGAAATGAGACTGTTATCAGAGAGACTGGTTATGAAAATTCTTTCCCAGTTTTCTACCTTCCTTCTAGTCTTAGTTGTATTGGCTTTGTGCAAAATCTTTTCAATTTAATGTAATCAAAGTTATCCATTTTGCTTTTTGTAATGTTCTCTATCTCCTGTTTGGTCATGAATTCTTCTGTTCTCCATAGATTTCTATACCTAATTGAGTATGTTATTGCCTTCTTGAGACAAATCTGAGAGTAAGGTTGAAACAATGCTCATCCCCCTCCCTTCTTTCCCTTCTGCTGTAATAGGTTTTTGTGTCTTTTCCTGTAATATAATTTACCCTTATCTGCTTCCTCCTTTCTTAGTACATTTTCTTAGATCAGACTAATCTACTTACTTGGATCCATTAAACCCATTTGATTAGATTTTTTTTTTATCATTACATCAAAGTCAACTTATATCAATCCCCTTTATGTATACTCCTTTAACGTAGTGTAATAATAATACAGTTCTGAAGAGTTGCAAGTGTCTTCTTCCCTTGTAGGGAAGTAAACAATTTGCCCTTATTGACAACATAATGTAT